GAAGCGAAAGAACCGGAGGTTAAGGAAGTGTTGAGCGAAGAGGCGGTCAAACAAAAAGAAGACACAATTTGGCAACAATTTTGTGCAGATTTACCCAAATCTGAGGACAAAAACAATTTAAGTAATATTTTAAGCAATGAGTCGACGACCGAAAGCGCCGGCGTTTCCGGCAAACAGACGATAACCAAAGTGTATGACTTCGCCGGACAGGAGGTGAAAGTGACCGAAGAAGTGGAGACCAACTCTATAACGACTGTCAACACAAGCGATGAAAGTGTTGTCAATAGTATTGTCGGAAACGAAGTTCCCGTCAAACCAGTGAAAAGAGCGGGAGGTTTGGGCGGACTTCTCAACCAATTAAAGAAACCAAAGATCAATACTTTGACGAAGAGTTTTATGGATTGGAATAACTATAAGAAGGAGGAGGGCATTGAAGAAGAGCTTAAACAACATAATAAAAGTAAAGATACTTATGTTGAGAGACAGGCTTTCCTTCAGAGATCAGACTTAAGACAATTTGAAAACGAAAAACAAATTCGAGAAAAGAATAGATCCCAAAGAAATCTCTCTAAAGACTAATTAGTTGTGCGATTGAAACCAATTTATGGATAATCTATTGAAGTGTTTAGTGACTAAAATCAATGGAATTGTCAAAAGTTGTTGAATTGTATGACAACTAAAGTATCAATATTTTGACTCATTATTTTGATAATTATTTAGTATTTCATTGTATGTAATGATTGTATTGATTGTACATTTAATCTTATTCTTAAGTAATTTAAGTATTAAAATATTAAACATTTTATTTTAAAAAAACAATAAATAAATAATAATTTTTAAAATAAAGCACTAAAGAAAGTTCAATACAATAATTGATAAGATATGAGACAATAAACAAATATTGAAATGTTGTTAACATTCCTATGATTTACAAATTAAGTCTAAATTGTATTTTTTTTAAATGTATTTAATTTTGAATACCGAACAAAAATATCAATTATTAATAAACTACTATTAATTCAAGAATTGAATGAATAATGCGTTAAATATTAGACGAGTTTTTTTTTAAATAAAAATTTAATTGAACACAACATTTGTGAACATCTCTCAAAAGTGTACACAAAATGCTTATGCAATGCATTGAGTGTTTTGTTCAAAATATTCACAAAAAGTTGTCTTTTTTAGACAACAAATGAAAAATGTTTTAGGAATTGAAGAAAACTTTTTTTTCTTCAATTTGACAGTAATTTTAGCGAAAAGATATAAATTGTCGTAAGAATTGAAACGAGTGTTTGAATTGAATACAAATTAGTCCTCAAAAGTGCTCAAAAAAACAAGTCATTTGCTATTTATTTCTTCTCTAAACCTGTATTTTTAAGACACAAATATTTTTGATGATATGATAGGAGAGTAACCGAAATGAGCACTAAATGAACACTAAATGAATTATTGACTGATTTTTGGCCATAAATACCATTAAATAAGCGCTGAATTAAATAGTCTGTCGATTGGCGACAAACTCCAAGGCCTACCAGTCCTCCAGTCCTGCTGTACGAGCCGTCCCTCCAATGTATAACTGTATGAGACGTTTGAGGCAAGTGTTCAATAAGTTATCACATAATCCTTGAACTCTAACTGATCTCAAGAGTGATTTTCAATTATATAGTACTAGACCACCCGTCGGTTATAATTTTGACCATAATTAAGAGCGGCCTCTCTCTCTCTCTCTCTC